TCGGGTTCCCACGCAACCTAGTAAGTCTGTACGAAGCCATCGAGAGAAGTGCATAGATGATAACAGATGATAAACATAGAGTCACGATAAACATAGAGTCAAGTACATGTAAGGTATAGTAAATAGAGTCGAGCGTGCGTGACAAACACAGAGTGAAGTGACGATAAACATAGAGTGGAGATACACGTAGAGTCCATAGAGTCAAGTACATCGAGTACCTTAAACCCTAAACCCTAAGTACATAGATGACGACAGATGATAGACATAGAGTCACGATAAACATAGAGTCAAGTACATGTAAAGTATAGTAAATAGAGTCGAGTGCGCGTGACAAACACGGAGTGAAGTGACGATAAACATAGAGTGGAGATACACGTAGAGTCCATAGAGTCAAGTACATCGAGTACCCTAAACCCTNNATGACTCTATGCACTTGACTCTGTGACAATATGACTGTATGCATAGGGGGTCCTACTGCCGAGATGAAACTCCAGGGGTCAACGCGAAAACTTTGTTTTTATCCCGCTCCGTTTGCTTCATTTCACGTGGTTAGGGCTTCGAGTTTTATCTCTATGCACTGGACTTTGTACTTGATGACTCTATGCACTTGATTCTGTGACAATATGACTCTATGCACTAGATCCTATGTACTCACACTGTGTACTCGACTCTATGACTTTATGTATTTTGACTCTGTGACTTTATACAGCGCTAAACTCTTCGCCAACGATGCTTTCGGGCCACATGTCTTCTAGTTTGCCGCCTTCCCGCTGCCATGCTCTGCAGCACAGCCAACGCGGCCTCACAGGGCGAGGTTGAAAAGAACACTTCCACCCTTCGGCTCTTCGGCAAGGGCAGCAAAACTGTTGTCCAACGGGCACGGCGAAGCCCCTGAACACAAGGCAGCACGTGCGTCCTGCCAGGCTTTACTGCGAGCGCACGCTGTGACCTCCAGCGCGGGCAGCAGGAACATGCTCAACTGCGTGTCACAGATTGTTTTAAAACAATTGTTTTAAAACAATCACCGACCAGCGGCCCAAGGCATAGCTGAGGCGAGGTCTGCGGCATTGCACAGCACAACATCCAGCAGCTGGTGGCTCCTCGCCTGAAAGTTCGGGTCTGCAAAGAATGCACGCAGTATCATGCTACTTTCATGTGCATGCGCATAAAAGTAATAAAAAAAAGAACCGGGAGCACAACATGCAGGTTACACTGATCGACAGTTGCTTACGGCAGTTGTGTGGCTCCCTGATGGCACGAAACCAGTTCCCAAAAAGCAGTGCTTGACGGCTGTCACGAGTAGCGTAAGGACGTGTGAGCTAGTGCAAGGTTCCTCCACCACTTTGTGGATGGCCGCCGCCCAGAGGCCACGACGCCCGAGGCTAGCGACCTCTTCGAGGCCATCTGTACTGAGTTCGAGAAGAAACATATTTCTGCAATACTCAGAGCCGCTCAGCAATTCACATCCAGCAGCCCACCTCCCCGGTAAGCTCTTTCGGCAGCGCTTTTCTCTGCAGTCTTCCCTGAGGGAGCATGATCTGCCGCTCATTGTGAACCCAGTTGTTAGCCCAACCAGCTGCTCAATCTAGTGATGGCTTGTGCAGGCATCAAAGCATTTTTTGCTGTCGCAAATCACATTCGTCGGTCTGTGTGCAGAGACCGATCGCCTGATGCCTCTCTCGTAGCAGTTGCGACTATCTCGACACGGACGTGGTTCCATGCTCGTTGCAGCTCGGATGCCTCAGAGCTCTGCTACCGGGTCTTGGACTGCTGCTAGTTGCCTACCTACCCTGGCTGAGAACTGAATCTGCTGGCCAAAGCAACATTCTCCATCCCAAGCCTTTGCAACAAGGAGTTGGCCTGGGGTGAAGCAGTAATGTTTCAACGACATGGGACCAGCACAAGCCATGCTTAGTGCAAGCGAGGCTTCGTTTGCCCACGCACGATCCAGGCGATCGTCGCAAAACATCTGGATGCCAGTGCGGTCAGCAGCTTGGCGTGCAGCAAGTTCGAAGCGGTTGAGGGCATCGACGTAGATCCTTGGGATATCTTGGGATGGTCCAGGATTGCACTTGCAAAGCTTGGCTCGTCAAGTCTGAGTCAAGCCGCTGTGCATCGACCCGCACAAGCTTCGCCATCTCAGATAACATATCGTCTGGCAGCTCGCTGATAGAGTGATTCGGAACGTAATGCGACTCAGTGCCTTAGATGCACGGTTCCGGTGAATTCAACAATCTCCACAATCAATTCATGCTTCTTCTTTCTTCCGAGCGTCTAATTTGTTCAATCGGTCCTCAATCAACAGTGTGGATGAAGAGCCAAGGGGCACGTCATACGCCAGTCTCGAGAGCGACTGTGCAAAGCCCGCAAACCCTCCCATCATGCAGCTTGGTCACCTTGCTGGCCGCAAGCACAGCCTTCAGGCAGGCCCCCGTGCCTCGACTCTGGGCGTCACGTAATTCATACAGACCCCTTGCATCATGTTGCCAAATCCTGTGAAGCTGCCTCGTGCACACAACACTTGGGTTCCCAGCGTTTCCAGATGGACCAGGCAGAGAGATTCCACGTAGAGCTCAGGCACACCGACAACTTGGACACCTTGTCTCTTCAGGTTCCACTAGACCGAAACAGAAAGAAGATTATCTTAGTGACTTTGCGACATGATAAGGACCCTTCGCATGACACATCTGAGGCGTGTGGTTGACACGACCGGAAAAATCGATGTTCTGGGAGACTGCCGCAAAATCTTCAAAGGAGACATGGCTGTCTGACACTTCAGCACGGCGACTTTGAAGCCCTTGCCTCGCGACCTGCGAACAAGTCGGCCACAAACTGCATTTTCACGAAGTCTGAAAGTTACTGAGAGCATTCGACCAGTAAGCTTTCGGGACTAAGTTTACTTCATCCTCCTCTTACAATGCGGCTAGTACGCCTTCCGGGCAACAAAGCTCCTGTGCCTAATCCGACTCGGACTGTGGTAAATGGCCAAGCTCTGCCCTGCTCATGACATCATGCCTTTGCACCGCACATGACCGCATGGATGATAACTCTGTGTGTCTCTCTTCCCTGCGTCTGCATCCACCTTTGAACGACCGGACAACGACGATCGGGACTGAAGTATCCGGGAAGCGGCGCCTTTATGTCCGGCTGCAGCTCGTCAAAGGGCACGTAGTGGTCCCAGACACTGGCCAAGTATCCTTAAAGATGAACCAAGGTCGCAGCTTGTCTGATCGAACGAAGCGTGTAGGCAAGTACAAGGGCACATCTCTGCCACAGCAGCCTTTCACACCCATCTGTGCCTAGGGTCATGGGAACAAGCTAGGATGACATCCTCCGAACGGTAGAAAGGCTTCATCGGCTTGCAAGAGGATGAGCAAGAACTGCAGACTTCGAGCAAACGACTACCGGCAGTCAGCGCAATCGAGAGTCTACTCTGCATGTTCCAGGGATTGTAGCAGTTGTGGCTCACCGCGCGAGCCCATTCCTGTGCAAGACATCAAACTACCACTACAGCCAGCAGCCGCCGGTCTGATGAGGGTATCCGGGTTCGATGCGATGGTCCTTTACAACTTTCTTAGACCTTCCTCCGGTATAGAGACAACTCCATGCCAAGCTGCCGATTCTGACAAAATGAAAACACCCGTGGCCAACAGCATAAGCCGGGTCCTTGCTGTCGGGTGGAAAACCCTGTACCGACTCGTTCTTGAGGTCTGTAAAATGTCGAACCCAGTTGTAAAGGCCGCCATAAACACCTGTCGCACGGAGCGTTGGAGCTTGAGCTTGTGTCTGTAACCCTGAACCCTCATCTGCATGGTACTGTGCGGCCGGAGGGCAATCACCAACAACAGCTCTGGGCTTGCACAAGAACAACAAACTTGCTCGGAGAGATAGGAGGCTTTGGCCCGCAAGTTCAGCTTCCGCAACAGCTCTGCCATGCACTGTACGGTCAACAGACAAGGAAGTGACAAGGCAGGGCAACCTCGAGAGCACGCGGCTCGCTCTGACTGGCTATGCTGTTTACACGACAGCGAAGCGGACGCTTGCCCGACCAGAGCACTTCATAGCTACAGCACTTGAGACACTATTGCATTCGTCTGCTACACTGTCTGCTGGAGTAATTGCAATAGCCACTGGCATTTCTTGCTGGGGATCCTGTTACACTGTTACTATATCGCAGCTATTTGAACTCTTCAGCTGTGGCAACTCGACTCGTGGCACAAAGTGCCTGGTTTGAAAGGGAAGTCCGTGCCGGCGGTGACACGCTTACCCCACCAGTCGAACTTGCACTCCAAAAATTGCGACCTAAGTGCAGCATCATCAAAGCACGAGCATGGACTTCGAAGAGGTTTTTGATTTGTGTAAAGCTAGCACCTCGAGTGCGCAGAGTAACGGCACGAGCTGCGTCACCATTCGTTCCCAACTGAGGCTTGTGCAGAACATGATCCAAGGGGTTCCGAATCATCCTCATGTCCACAGCAAGATGCGCAACATTGCACAATCAAGCTAATTTGGTGCTGGGATTGCGCGATCATGTGCGTTGGCAAGCGCCAACTAAAGAAAGAAAACATTTCACAGATCAGGAGCATGCCATGTCAGCTGAGCGACACCACGCGAGTCTCGTTCTGCACGTGTGGGGTGCCTGTTATCTTCTTATCTTCTGATAGCAACGGACGGTGGACGGGCATCTACTCCAAACGCTACATGCTGGCAGTCGTTTCTCGAAATTCTACGCCAGGGTGCCCAGCAAGGAAAGCTCCTTGGAATCCCAGAGCAACAACGGGCAAAGTATGCTCTCCGTGCGTCCGGAGACAGGCCTGCTTTCACCAACAGCTCTAACTTCGCCAGGAAGAACCCACTGCTAGAAGCATTCAGCCAGGTAGGAATCTCGACCATGAAGCAATCTGAGTTGCACACTCCAGAACTTGCCTGTCTGTGCTGGTCAAGTTCAGACGTGCTTCGCCATTGTCGAGAAATGACATGTTGGATGGAATCATGAACGTCGCATCTGCAAAGAAGGAAGTGCCCGCGGTCTTCGGAATGTGGAGGAACCTCAGCCAACTGCCAGCGACCAGCTCCGCATACATGTCAAGCCGAGGCTAGCTGCATCGCGAGACAGAGAAGGCTTTTGGGAATGAAGCAGTGCCTCAAAACTTGCGCAATTGTCGTGACAAGGCGCACAATCTGACGAGCTGATTCGCTCTGTGATGGTTGCTCATTCACGGTCTTGTTGCTGACGCCGTGCACACGACTCTCCTGTGCCAAAATTCTCAATGGTGGGCTGGGGCAGCTAAGCACGCGACCTTCCAATTTCATTCTAAATGCTTTCACTCATGCGGCTCAGCTGGAGCCTACACCAGAACATACACCTTGCAGACTCTGTCATATTGACGAGATCGTGACAGCGCAGATACATCATGTGACAGCAAGATGAACGGAGAATCCAAGATAGACAGAAGGGCGAGACAGGACGGGACAGACAGACACGCATGGAGACAGACGGACGGACGGACGGACGGAACGGAAGGACCGACTGGCAGCCAGGCAGACAGGCAGACAGGCACAAACAGACAGACCAGGAGACAGACGGACAAACAGACAAACAGAGAGAGAGAGAGAGAGAGAGAGACAAATAGAGAAAAAGAGAGCGAGAGCGAGAGCGAGCGACCGACCGACTCGCAGACAGATTGATTGAAGATCAGGTGACGCACTAGTAAATCTAAATTGTATGTGTTTTATACGTCAAGGTGAGAGAATGTCAGAAATGAATTAAGATGCGGAGTTTTCGACATCATCTCGACCTTCTGCCCTTCAGCCCTGTATCCGTGCAAACCGACTGTTGTGCCGGCCGACCGTCAGGGAGGCACACGGATTCTTGCACAAGCCCATGGCAATGCGGCACAGTAGGTTACAGACAGAGAACGCGAGAGAGAGGGAGATAGAGAGAGAAAGAGAAAGCAAAAGAAAGAAAGAAACACAAAAGACGTCCCACAGCAAGGCATGTACACCCGTGCTGTCTCCGCTCCTTATTAAGGGGTTAAGATGCTGAGCTCCGAAACCGGCATCAAACACAGAGATCCGAGCAGGCAGCAGCAGCGGCAGAAGCATAACACAGGGAATCGTACGAAAGAACGCAGACGTACAGAGCATGAACAATGCAGCAACCACATCCTGTTTTAGTGCTGTGAATGAAGAGCTCGGCAGTGCCGCACCCCATCATGCACGACACTTGCAGCTCAAGCAGACCTTTTCCCTAAGAGCACCCCGAGTAGCCACAGGAGGTGATCTATACAAAGTCACGCCCGGCACCCTCAATGAAGACAGATACTCGCTAGTGTGTATCCAAAGACGGAGGTGGCATGGTGACGCTCCGCACGTGCATCGAAGCCTCACCGATCGTCTGCCCAGCGTCGGTCTTGGGACTGCGTTGGGCCACCCGAACCTGTGCCGCAACTGTCAACATCCCGAATGGTGAAACCATTGTGCTCTTGAAGCCTGCATGAGCGCCGTCGCCGCACAAGTGCCATCGAGGCACCCATCCTTGACACACGTTTGACTATGCAAGCATGCGAGTGAAATTCCGAACTTGTGTGAGTCCAGTTGTCGCCAACTTTCAAGAGGATCAACTTACAGCATTGATGCATTTGTCCAGGATTCAGGTGCAACTTGGGTTCAGCCGAGCATCGGCAAAGGACCTCGGGCGGACAAGCCCAGCAGAAGCACGCTGCAATCGACATGTTGCCTCTTATCATCACATGGATGTGGGTGCAAAGGCTGTGCAGCCCAGGGCGCCCATGCGGCACGCCACAGACTCTCACCAGCATACACAGAAGAGTTGTGGAAGACAGGCACGTCATCTTTGACATGGCGGCAGGCCGCGAGCCTAATCAAAACCTTTCCTTGCTTCGATTCACCTTCTCGCATCTCTGATGAAAGAGATACATGTAGTCTTACTCCACACGACGGGTTTGGCTGGCCAATGTCACAGTCCAGGGATGTCCAACGAGCGCCAGCAAAAGACAAGCAAGCTATTTCTTATGCTTCTTGACTATCTAAGAGAGGATGTGGCCTTGGCCTCTCTTTGAGAGAGCCTGCCGGCCAAGCCTCACACGAAAACAATTCAGTGGCACCACCTGCGAACGTTGAACCGTTCAGCGGCAGCGGTAGAGAGAAACCAGGCTCGAACGCTCTGTGATGCCGGAAAGGACTGCGGTATACTGCGGTACCGAGTGATCAAAGTTGCAGGCCTGCATCGAATCGGAGTGTGCCCTTGCTCTGGGCTTCTCCTTGAAACGCACTCGCGCAACAGACCTTCTCGCTCTGGTGCACTCTGACGGCCCTCCGCCTGAAAATACGACGCCGCCACCAGAGCAATCTTGTTCTGCACGAGGCAGCACTCATGGTCACCACGGCGTGGTGCTGATGGCAACAAGTTGCAAGTTCTTTCGGCTCAATGTTATTCGGCAGTTGCTTTATCTAGTCACCAACTCTTCAGCAGCAACTTGCAGGAACCGTGTCCTCCCTCATGCGCGCAATGCTGACAGATGGTGCGCGTCAGTACGTGGGAGTTTTGGTGCTTCTTGCGCTAAAGTGACGTTGCGGCTGCCCTCGGTCTATTGGCTGCATCATCAGGATGCCTGCTTGCCAAGTGCCGGCACATGCATTTCAGATCGCCACGTCGCCAGTCGCAAACACTCCTGCCCATGAGTGCACTCCATTTCTTCCGCGGGCTGCTCCGCCAAAAGCGTCGCAATGGCGCTGCGGCGGACCTTAGAGCAGCTTCTGCGATGCTTGAGTTGCGACTTCGATAGCAAGTCAAGACGGGGACGGCAAGGGCCACTTCGAAGGCGTGGGAGGCCTCGGACATTTCGTCCATCTCCTGTGCCGTCACGACTAGCTCCGTGGACTGCAAGCGGTGAGGCAAAGATGGCTCCTCCCTCTCATCGTCTGACCGCATTGTCTCCACTGGCCCCGGAGGGGGCGGGGGTGGCGGACCTGAACATCGCGGAGACTGTAGGATGCAAGTTGCCTTTTGGCGAACAGCTGCGCACAGAATGTGCATAAGCATTCCACAAGTTTCTGCGAGCTCGTGAAGATTGGGAAGGCTCATCCTGAGTCTGTGCACAAGCCCATCACTGGCAACTCTCTTGGCTTTCGGACCAAGAAGCAATTGCGTCACGTGCAAAGCAAAGATGTCGTGCTCCGAAACGCTGTTGCCGCGCTCCTCAGCAAGAAGGCACCGCGAAGCCGAGGGCTCAGGGAAGCCCGGGACTCAACGCACTGAAATCTTCCAAGACTCGCCGCGCAGCTCGACTTCAAGTTGCTCAAGGCCTCGCCTGTAGGGCGGCCTTGGCATGCAGCACAAGTGTCACGTGTCTACAAGTACGAGCCCAAAGTCGGACGCACGAGATGCGCGCATGCATCGTCAGATGTTTCGGTTACTCAATCAGCTCAGGTGTCTAGGCCAGAAAATGCCAGAAACTAGGAGAGACGAGATGGAGGCCCACGATTCCCTGCATCAGGGGTGAAGGCACGGGAAGAATCCTGCACTTCCCGAAACGAGGTCCGCATCACACGCCCAAGGATCAAAGTTTCTCGAGCGCGTAATGCCGTAACACACAAGGATTCGAGCACAAGCCTGTCTGTCTGCGGACATAGGGTAAGGCGGACTGGGGCTGGAACCATATCTCAATGGGGGGGGTGCTTGGAGCCAAGGCGACACTTCTAGAGAAGAAGGAAGTGGGAGCAGGTCCCGATCCGAAGGTTCGAGAATGCAAGTGGTGGCATAAGGGCGGAATGCGGACCTCAACTGTCTCCCACCAAACTCAAGTTGCGACGATCATGTCCGGTCTTGGCCCGGTCTTCCAGCAAAATACGAATGTAAACAGAGACTCCTTGCAGGTGGTCACTTTCGCAAAATCGCGACATGATGGGGAGACGCAAAGGCCAGAGAATTGCGCACTGATCACCCCCTGTTACGAGGCGGGGGAAGGCTCCCCTCAAGTACTTATCTAAAGGGGGTCTCGGATGCCTCAAATTCATTTTGCCAAACTTTGCCTGTGACTGGCGCTGATGACCTCCAGGAAATCCTCCCCAATGTACTTTTCCGCTGTGAGCTAACCTACCAGTCATTACGGATGACTAAGCTGCAGAACTCTGCCCAGCTGTGTCGTGTATGGCCCCTGCGTCGTACCATCGTGCATGAGACACAGGTTGGTTTTGGAACCCCTGCAATTCTGTTGCGCAGCAAAAAACAGGGCCGGCTCACGCAGTCGTCTTAGAAGATGCAATGTTGCCTCTGTTTCAATCGGTGCTTCCTACTGCGATACGACCTCAGGCTAAACCTTAAGGTGGCTTATGCTGTGGCGGAGGAGCTCCAGAACCTGAAAACCCGCGAAGCAAGAGAAGCTATCAGAGAGCCTTCTCTGTCTCTGTGTGTGCGTGTGTGAGGCACCCAACCGTGCCTGAAGACTTTCCGGCGAGGGGATGTGGTAGGAGGGTAACCCCCTTCCGCGAAACGTTCTTGGGTGTAGGACTGGCGTGGGCCTAGTATCTAGTGTGAGTGTGCCTTTGCCCGTCAGGAATCCTCTCATGCTGCCTGAGCTAATCGGTTGGAGTTTGGGGTTTCAGTGTCTGCTCTGTGGGGCTTGGGGTTTAGGCATAATCCTTACCTTGGAGTTTTTTGGCAGGTGTGTACTGCATCCCGGCCATTCCACACCAAGAACGCATGTCTACATCGATGCGATTTTTGTAGCAAGCACCAAACACCCGTGGGGCCACGCGATGCCATGAGTCTCACGAAGCCTTGTGTGTGCCGAGCGGCAATGGATCGACGTCCATTCGAGCTCGGAGGAGCCGGCAGTAGGCCTCTGAACTTCTGACTCTTCGCTCTACGTTGCTCCGTGGCGAACGGTACTATGTATGCAATTCGGCTGGGTTCAGCTGACCTGATAGTGAGGGGGGAGGTTCATCCCAAACAACGCAAGCCCAATAATACATGGAGGAATAAAGCGCTGGCATGGCTCCGGTGCTTGGACATGTCTTGTTTTGCTGACCTGCCTTGCATTACCAGCATGCAAAGCCTACTTATGAATCGTTTACAATTGCAGGTTCGGCCGCTGCACCGCGTGAGGGCCGGTTCCATGGGGAATACCTTTGACTTTAGTTTTGGCTTCGGCTTTGGCTCAATCGGTTGAGCATGGACTAGGCAAGCCATTTGCAATTAACGCCTAGAGATGGCACTCACCAGGACAGCCACGCTTTCGGACCCACTTCGAGCCCAGAATGCAACGACCCTCGGCTACAACTGTGGGGTTTCCTGCACACAACAAATGTTTAGGCTTTAGGGCAGACCAGGCAATTTGCTCTGAAAACTCCATGCTGTTGCATCAAAGTTGAACCACGGCTTTCTCCTTGCACGCTTCCAGCGTCACCCAATAATTGGATCCCTGCCTGACGAAGTGTGTGGCCGTTGCAAACGAAGAAAGCCAGGGCGAGAGTCGGCGAGCGGTTGTGGCCCTCAGTACTGACTACGAGTTTACACCCATCCACCCGCGCGCTGCTCAACCTGCTTCCCACAACCGCGCCTGGTCACAGTGAACGAGCACCACGCGGTCACCGACTGCTTCTGCAGGTTGCACGGCAGCCTGCAAAGCCTCTTCAAACTCTTAAGGGGCCGTTCCGGTGGTGCGAGTCACCTGACTGCCTGTTTTGAAAGGTTGCTGGCCACTACCACCTTCGTCATGGTTTTGCACACACGAGGTGAACAAGGCTTCTCTTGAAACATTGAACTTAATCGCCTAAATATCGTCCCGTGATCAGCAACCCTAGCCGCCCTGTCTATCCGCACGTCCGAGACACAGTGCACCTAAGCGCAGCTTCGTGCTGGGGAGTTCCCGATGCTGCAACTCTTGCCAGCCTGAAGAGGCTCGGCCAAGTCATGTCTCCTTGGAGTTTTGGGGACGACATCAAGGCATCTGCTCCTGCCTCTACTGAGCACCGGTCAGGTCCAACTTCTCGTCCGGCCGAAGCCAATCGGACATCTGAAAGTATTGTAGCTGAATATCTGCATGGCCGTTCCTGAGCAAATGCAGCGCTGCAGGCAAAGCACGCAGGCAAGATCACAGAGAAGCAAGTGTCAAGTGTCCTTGATGTCGCATATGCCGCATGCATCACGAAAGCTGCATTGAAAACATCCGAAATCACACTCTGCTCTGGAGGGGGGGGGGGGGGGAAAGGCCAAACCCCTA